ACCAATTTGCCTAGGTGACTACAGACCCAGACCCTTGGATCTGAGAACAATGAAAAAGCATTCAGCTTTCTTACAAGAAGACTTTTAATAGAAATAGGAGTAAATAGAAGTAAAGAAATCCCCTCTGTAAAATCAGGATGGTAGATACCTTACAGTGTAATTAGATTCAAAACATAGAGAATCTCTCTAGGCAAAACCTTAAGTTACAAAAAAGATACACAGACAGAAATAGTTATTCCATTCAGCACAATTCTTTTCTCAGCCATTTAAAGAAATCATAATCTAACACATACCTAGTAGATTACTTACTAAAACTTCTAAGACTCCATTCCTGGTCTATCCCCAGCAAAAACAGCATATAGACAGACACACAGACCCTTTGTTTCTCTCCCTTCTCCCAGCTTTTGAAAGTATCTTGTCTCCTCATTGGTCATTTTGGTCAGGTGCCAGCGAGGTTACCTTTAGCTTCTTAACCCTTTACAGGTGAGAGGAGTTTTCCTCTGGCCAGGAGGGATTTTAAAGGGGTTTACCCTTCCCTTTATATTTATGACAGCATGAATGGCCAGTGGTAGTCTACAGTGCATGCTGCTGAAAGTGAAATGTCAGAAGCCAAACACCACTGACAAAACATCACTAACAAAAATGTCATGCAACAAACTGAGTAACCCAACATACCCCTGCAATATAATCTAGTTGTGATTAGACTTCTGTGTTGGAATGATCACAACATAAAATGGGACGGACTTGTTCCTCTGCCCCATGTTGTGAACTATGTGAAATATGCAAAATATGTCTTAATATTATCCCTTTTGTCTCTTACTAAATTAAAACCAGCCAACGTGGGAAAACAAATCTCTTGTCAAAGTCACCTTTTTTAAAAAACAGCCCCTCCAGCCAACTTAGCCAAAGGACAATACACACACACAGCAGCAGCAAGTGCTGCTGAATTCTTTTCTTGTCTCAAGGTTCTTTTCATTGCCGTGTCGGCTTCCACTGGAAAACAATAAGAGAGTCTCCCCTGGAGATCATTGTCAGATTCAGCATTTTGCCCCCCTCCCCCACGTCTGCCGGGGTACTCAAGGCTGCAATGCCCATAGGGTTTCTTTTCTCACCATTCTGTAGAAGTGTAGCTAGATGGAAAACAGCTTCAATTAAAGCATTAGGGTTTTTCATTTATCCAATTACAAAGTTCCTTCTGATGCCTGTAGGATCTTGATCGCTCTCAACTCTCCCCGCCCTGCCCCACAGTCCACCTGGAGGCCTTGCTGGAATGGAGGGAGTTGCATTAAAATGGTTTCACTCATTTCTCTCACAGATCCTTAATGATCATGATGAACAGCTACTCAAAGTACTGAAGCTGCCCACCCTACCATCCTTATTCAACATTTATGTCAGACCACTGGTTGGGATGAGACACCATTAACTTCAAAGCTAGTAGAATGCTAATGGCACGCAGCTCCCCCACCCTCCAATCTCTCGTATCAAGTACAGACAATTTTGTATCTGATCTGTCCCAACATCTAAGGGAAATTGCAAGCTAGATGAAAAGCAGCCTGTTCAAGAAAGCGGTTATGAGAGGAGGAAGGAGAAAGCATTTTGAGGAACCAAGAGGAGCTATGACTTCACCCTTCAGTGCAGTCATTTGTCCTCTGATACACAGGCATGCACAGTCTTAGAATCCCAAGAGATTATTGCTACTCCCACGCAGCCAGGACATGTCCCTTACTATGTGTATGCACAATAGGGCTCTCATCTCCATTTGGATCTCTAGCTGCTACTGTAACAAACAATATTTTCAATTTTGGTTGGCCTGCTCCCTAGTCATGGCATAGTGAATTGTAGAAGTGCATCTCTTTGATGATCTTCACTCTCTAGTAGCTCCCTGTCTGATTTCACATCTGTTACAAGCTGTTGATCTCAAACAGCTTGTAGCTGACCAGGCCAAAGCTCTCAGAAAACTACCCTGAGATCTTTAATATCCTGAGCAGAGAGGACGTTCATTGTTAACGTCTCATACAAGAGACCCTACCTATCGTAAACTACAGAGAAAATCTACAGAAGGAAGCGGTCTAATCATCTCTGCTAGAACTGGAACCTTTCGTTCTAGAGAATCTTGGTATTTTAACACTGACACAGACTGGGATGAAGGAGGGTCAGAGAGTAGTGGAGGACTGGTACTGCTGAACCTCTATGCAAGTGCTTACAGCACCCATGAAACACAGCACATTCTATGCATATTATGAGTCTAGGGGGTTTTTTATGCACAAATTTGCACAGATTTCATTAAAACAATGCAAACCCTGTGCGGACACTATTCCAGTTAAAGAGCAGCTTCTTTCAGTTTGGTTTAGACATGTTCCAAAGTGACACTCTAAACCTAAACCCAAATAAACCCGGTTTAAACCAAATAAGAGAGCCTCCTCGGCCTTTTGCACCGGTTTAACTAAAATCAGTTTAAAAACTGATGCAACTCTGTACATAGACAAGCTCCGGAAATCATTTGAGGGCTAGACCCAAAGCTGAGCACAGATGCTTGGGCGAAAGCATCTTCTAGCTCCCTTATCAGTTGGTCACTACAATAAGCAAGGGTCAACATGGGCTTGCAATCACTGGGTGGTGGAACATGGGTTTGGAAAAAGATGAGATGGACTGAAGACATTGGTTCCCTGATATTACCTGAGAGAAGTGAGCATTTAGGGCTTCTCCAATCTACCCCAAAACAGTCTGTGCATCTTCCCCTTTGAAGGATCAGTGTAACATTGTAGACAGTGTTTGCAGATAGGCATATTTATTTTTAATGACCTGTACTATACATGCTATACTCTTCCTACAAAACAGGTGTACAAATCCACTGTATTATCCCACCATTCATACTCAGCCATCATGAGCATCACATTATAAACTAGCCTTACTTCCCGTCCCCCTCACTTTGTGACTGGTGACTGTAGTTGAGATGAACTTGAGACTCCATACAATTGGATCTACACAGAAGGATCAGGGAGACACTTCACTTACTGCAATTTGAAATCTGTCACTATCATACAGCTAACAACGTTGCTCAGGGGTGTTGATTTTTCACACCCATGGGTGATGCTGTTATACTGAAGTAAGAGTGTAGTGTCGAAATACAGTTTATGGCACTATCAGCCAGTACTAGAACCCTGCTCTGACAGCTCTCAGTCCAGGAAAGGATTTTCCATCCTGCTACTTAACTTTGTGGCTATATTTCCCCCTCTTTTTAAGTCTGTAGTACAAGGGACAAAATCTTCCCAAAAGCAACAATTTCAGACTATGGCTCATAAGTAATTGCTATAACATCTACTAATTACTAACAAAACATAAAATTTAATATTTTCAAAGTAAATGTGATAAATGGGACTTATTGCTAGCAGGGAAAAACCTCTAACATTCAGCCACCAAGTATTCTCAATAGCAAAGAGTACCCTCTCTACTGCAAGTATTAAATGATATTAAATAGACATTAAATATAAAATGATTTAGTCACAGCAGCAAGAAAACATTCTCCTAATGTGAGTTTCAAGATTATTTTGGTATGAAAACCAGCTAACATATACTTAATTTACCTCTGTTACCAAGTCAACATTCGGGGGATGCAGAAAATCTAAGAAAGAATTTAAATCTATGCCGTGCCCTGGGAGAAAAACAAGTGCACACAAGACCTGAATTTCTAATGGGTGGAGAAAAAACAAACAAACCAAAAAAACCCTTTCAAACTTCTTTTTACAGCAGAATGAAACAGCAACAACAATCAAAAGGGCACAAGCTCATTGTTACCCTTGCACTTCACTTTTAAGGGATGACTAAAAATGTAGGACATTAGGGTGCAATCCTTATTCAAACAAGACAGACTTCTATAGAAAATTTATGTAAGGGCTGCATCATCAGGCCTAAATCTTTCAAAATGTCACATTTTGAGGTCTGTCTATAAATGTGATCAAATCTGGTAATGCCTCATTTTCCCATTTATGGGATTTTGACCTATTTTACTTGCCCTGATAAGTCACTCAGTATTAACAAGTGTGATTTTGTGAATACAACTGGAGCACATATCCAGAGATAATATAAAACGTAAACACACAGTACTAAATTGATCTTGATGAAGGTGGAGCATAGAATCTTTAAGATAAACATTATACTGATTGTGACAAAATTATAACTGATAGATATAGTTGCAGTTTGTGTGCAAATATTTTCCTTGCCTTTTTTTCTCTCCACAGAAGGCCATCAGTTACCAGTTTTAGGATTAATATATAAAAAAAGACAGTACTGTATTTCCTGTGAAAAACTGAATGAAATGGTTTCACTGTTATTTTTGAGGAAACAAATCAAACTTAAATTGTTTTGATTTGATTTTTTGGGTTACCCCTACCAAGTTTTTCAGTGGGGGAAGGGGGGAAATAAAAAAAGGATTTTTATTCAAACTGAAATTTTTTTTATTAGAATTGGATAGATTGAAGGAAACAAAATGAATATTTTTGGATCTTTTGAAAAGCCATTTTTCATTAAAAAATTCTAATCAGCTCTATTATTAACCCACCTTAGTTCTGCCTCCCTCCTTAATACAGAAATCCAGTAGCTTCATAACATTCATACATTACTGTGTCAAAGTTTGCTCCAACTTACAACCTGGAACCCAAACTAAAATCTACCCAAGGTGTCAGTGTCCAAACGGATCTGGAACTGAAGATCAATTATTTGTATTGGGGTAGGACTTACAGGTCCCAGTCCCGTTGTTTCATGTGCTGTATAGACATAATGGAAAGATGGCCCCTGCCTCAACAAGAAACAATAGTGGATAAAAACAAATGGAATAGCTGCAGCTTTCTCAATCAAGTGGACAGTAGTTGCCAAGAGGCATAGAGGAAGGCGCTTCTCTATGCCCTGGTCTACACTAGGACTTTAGGTCAATTTAGCAGCGTTAAATCAATGTAAACCTGCATCCGTACACACGATGAAGCCCTTTATTTCGACTTAAAGGGCTCTTAAAATCGATTTTCTTACTCCACCCCTGACAAGTGGATTAGCGCTTAAATCGGCCTTGCCGGCTCGAATTTGGGGTACTGTGGACACAATTCGATGGTATTGGCCTCCGGGAGCTATCCCAGAGTGCTCCATTGTGACCGCTCTGGACAGCGCTCTCAACTCAGATGCACTGGCCAGGTAGACAGGAAAAGAACCACGAACTTTTGAATCTCATTTCCTGTTTGGCCAGCGTGGCAAGCTGCAGGTGACCATGCAGAGCTCATCAGCAGAGGTGACCATGATGGAGTCCCAGAATTGCAAAAGAGCTCCAGCATGGACTGAACGGGAGGTACGGGATCTGATCGCTGTTTGGGGAGAGGAATCCGTGCTATCAGAACTCCGTTCCAGTTTTCGAAATGCCAAAACCTTTGTCAAAATCTCCCAGGGCATGAAGGACAGAGGCCATAACAGGGACCCGAAGCAGTGCCGCATGAAACTTAAGGAGCTGAGGCAAGCCTACCAGAAAACCAGAGAGGCGAACGGCCGCTCCGGGTCAGAGCCCCAAACATGCCGCTTCTATGATGAGCTGCATGCCATTTTAGGGGGTTCAGCCACCACTACCCCAGCCGTGTTGTTTGACTCCTTCAATGGAGATGGAGGCAACACGGAAACAGGTTTTGGGGACGAAGAAGAAGATGATGAGGTTGTAGATAGCTCACAGCAAGCAAGCGGAGAAACCGGTTTTCCCGACAGCCAGGCACTGTTTCTCACCCTGGACCTGGAGCCAGTACCCCCTGAACCCACCCAAAGCTGCTTCCTGGACCCGGCAGGCAGAGAAGGGACCTCCGGTGAGTGTACCTTTTAAAATACTATACATGGTTTAAAAGCAAACATGTGAAAGGATTACTTTGCCCTGGCATTCGCGGCTCTCTTGGATGTACTCCAAAAGCCTTTGCAAAAGGTTTCTGGGGAAGGCAGCCTTATTTCGTCCTTCATGGTAGGACACTTTACCACTCCAGGCCAGTAACACGTACTCGGGAATCATTGTACAACAAAGCATTGCAGTGTATGTTTGCTGGCGTTCAAACAACATCCGTTCTTTATCTCTCTGTGTTATCCTCAGGAGAGTGAGATATCATTCATGGTCACCTGGTTGAAATAGGGTGCTTTCCTTCAGGGGACACTCAGAGGAGCCCGTTCCTGCTGGGCTGTTTGCCTGTGGCTAAACAGAAATGTTCCCCACTGTTAGCCATGGGGAGGGGGAGGGTTGAGGGGGTAGCCACGCGGTGGGGGGAGGCAAAATGCGACCTTGTAACGAAAGCACATGTGCTATGTATGTAATGTTAACAGCAAGGTTTACCCTGAAAGAGTGTAGCCACTGTTTTATAAAATGTGTCTTTTTAAATACCGCTGTCCCTTTTTTTTCTCTCCACCAGCTGCATGTGTTTCAATGATCACAGGATGTTCTCCTTCCCAGAGGCTAGTGAAGATTAGAAAGAAAAAAAAAAACGCACTTGAGATGAAATGTTCTCCGAGCTCATGCTGTCCTCCCGCACCGACAGAGCACAGACGAATGCGTGGAGGCAAATAATGTCAGAGTGCAGGAAAGCACAAAATGACCAGGAGGAGAGGTGGCGGGCTGAAGAGAGTAAGTGGCAGGCTGAAGACAGGACTGAAGCTCAAATGTGGCGGCAGCGTGATGAGAGGAGGCAGAATTCAATGCTGAGGCTGCTGGAGGACCAAACCAGTATGCTCCAGTGTATGGTTGAGCTGCAGCAAAGGCAGCTGGAGCACAGACTGCCACTACAGCCCCTGTGTAACCAACCGCCCTCCTCCCCAAGTTCCATAGCCTCCATACCCAGACGCCCAAGAACGCGGTGCAGGGGTCACCGGCCAACCAGCCACTCTGCCACAGAGGATTGCCCCCAAAAAAAGAAGGATGGCATTCAATAAATTTTAAAGTTGTAAACTTTTAAAGTGCTGTGTGGCATTTTCCTTCCCTCCTCCACCACCCCTCCTGGGCTACCTTGGTAGTCATCCCCCTATTTGTGTGATGAATGAATAAAGAATGCATGAATGTGAAGCAACAATGACTTTATTGCCTCTGACAGCGGTGATCGAAGGGAGGAGGGGAGGGTGGTTAGCTTACAGGGAAGTAGAGTGAACCAAGGGGCGGGGGGTTTCATCAAGGAGAAACAAACAGAACTTTCACACCGTAGCCTGGCCAGTCATGAAACTGGTTTTCAAAGCTTCTCTGATGCGTACCACGCCCTCCTGTGCTCTTCTAACCACCCTGGTGTCTGGCTGCGCGTAACCAGCAGCCAGGCGATTTGCTTCAACCTCCCACCCCGCCATAAACGTCTCCGCCTTACTCTCACAGATATTGTGGAGCACACAGCAAGCAGTAATAACAGTGGGAATATTGGTTTCGCTGCGGTCTAAGCAAGTCAGTAAACTGCACCAGCGCGCCTTTAAACGTCCAAATGCACATTCTACCACCATTCTGCACTTGCTCAGCCTGTAGTTGAACAGCTCCTGACTACTGTCCAGGCTGCCTGTGTACGGCTTCATGAGCCATGGCATTAAGGGGTAGGCTGGGTCCCCAAGGATACATATAGGCATTTCAACATCCCCAACAGTTATTTTCTGGTCTGGGAATAAAGTCCCTTCCTGCAGCTTTTGAAACAGACCAGAGTTCCTGAAGATGCGAGCATCATGTACCTTTCCCGGCCATCCCACATTGATGTTGGTGAAACGTCCCTTGTGATCCACCAGAGCTTGCAGCACCATTGAAAAGTACCCCTTGCGGTTTATGTACTCGACGGCTTGGTGCTCCGGTGCCAAGATAGGGATATGGGTTCCGTCTATGGCCCCACCACAGTTAGGGAATCCCATTGCAGCGAAGCCATCTACTATGACCTGCACATTTCCCAGGGTCACTACCCTTGATATCAGCAGATCTTTGATTGCGTGGGCTACTTGCATCACAGCAGCCCCAACAGTAGATTTGCCCACTCCAAATCGATTCCCAACTGACCGGTAGCTGTCTGGCGTTGCAAGCTTCCACAGGGCTATCGCCACTCGCTTCTCAACTGTGAGGGCTGCTCTCATCTTGGTATTCATGCGCTTCAGGGCAGGGGAAAGCAAGTCACAAAGTTCCATGAAAGTGCCCTTACGCATGCGAAAGTTTCGCAGCCACTGGGAATCGTCCCAGACCTGCAACACTATGTGGTCCCACCAGTCTGTGCTTATTTCCCGAGCCCAGAATCGGTGTTCCACAGCATGAACCTGCCCCATTAGCACCATGATGCATGCATTGGCAGGGCCCATGCTTTCAGAGAAATCTGTGTCCATGTCCTGATCACTCACGGGACCGCGCTGACGTCGCCTCCTCGCCCGGTATCGCTTTGCCAGGTTCTGGTGCTGCATATACTGCTGGATAATGCGTGTGGTGTTTAATGTGCTCCTAATTGCCAAAGTGAGCTGAACGGCCTCCATGCTTTCCTTGGTATGGCGTCCACACAGAAAAAAGGCGCGGAACAATTGTCTGCCGTTGCTCTGACAGAGGGAGGGGCGACTGACGACATGGCTTACAGGGTTGGCTTCAGGGAGCTAAAATCAACAAAGGGGGTGTCTTTACATCAAGGAGTATTTCAGGCAGGACTTCACGGAGGGTTCCAATAAGAAATGGTGCACCTAAGTTATTGTTCTTATTGGAACAAGGAGGTTAGTCTGGCCTCTGATTGATACATGGCTAAATTTACCTCGCTGCACCTTCCCTGTGAGTGACTGCAGTGTGACTTAGAGGAATGAGTCCCCTAGACAGGGGAGGAGGCAAATGAGTACAAAACAAATCTGGTCTATTTCTTGTTTTGATCCACTCCATCTATCTTTTACATCTTTGGCTGGCAGCAGACGGTGCAGAAGGACTGCATGCCATCCACATCTCATGGCTGCTCGGCAGAAGATGGTACAATACGACTGCTAGCCATCCTCATCTCTTGCCTGCCCGGCAGAAGATGGTACAATACGACTGCTAGCAATCCGTATTGCCTGCCTGCTCACCATAAGACGGTTCAATAGGACTGACTGCAGGACTAAAGAGAATGACCTGGTCAAGTCACTCCAAATTTAGTCCCTGCGCCCACGTCTGCCCAGGCGCTCCCAGCCGACGTGGCCAGGAGCACCTCGGACACGACGATGACGGCTACCAGTCGTATTGCACCGTCTGCTGCCAGAAGGCAATGGGTTGCTGCTACTGTGTAGCAATGCCGTACTGCGTCTGCCAGCACCCAGGAGACATACGGTGATGGTTACCTGAGCGGGCTCCATACTTGCCGTGGTATGGCGTCTGCACAGGTAACTCAGGAAAAAAGGTGCGAAACGATTGTCTGCCCTTGCTTTCACGGAGGGAGTTAGGGAATGGGGGCCTGACGATATGTACCCAGAACCACCCGCGACTATGTTTTAGCCCCATCAGGCATTGGGATCTCAACCCAGAATTCCAATGGGCAGCGGAGACTGCGGGAACTGTGGGATAGCTACCCACAGTGCAACGCTCCGGAAGTCGACTCTAATCTCGGTACTGTGGAAGCACTCCACCGAGTTAATGCACTTAATGCACTTAGAGCATTTTCTGTGGGGACACAAACACTCGAATATATAAAACCGATTTCTAAAAAAACGACTTCTATAAATTCGACCTTATTCCGTAGTGTAGACATACCCTATGATTAAGGATAGGAAGCATCCTCTCCTCACTAAGTGAGGCATTAATAAGGCCTATCAATAGTGGCACTTATGCAAAACCACTGCTTTAAGCAGTCAAGGTATGTAAGGATCAGAAATGCAGGTGGCTGGCCTGAAGTAACTCAGATGACTATGGGCATCCACATTAGAAACACTCTAAAGCAACCAGGGCAGACAGCTCATTAATAATCTATACAATAGGTCTGAGCACACCAGCCACATGCCAGTGTAGATCACCCATAGAGAACATAGATTTGCCAGTGTGGTTAACCAACAAAATTATAAACCAACCTAACAGCATGAGGCAGTCTGGATTAAACAGACCTGTACACCACCTAAAGAGGCCAACCTGGCCTAAGGCCACGTCTACACTTACTGGTAGATCAGCGCTGCTACGATCAACGCAGCAATGTCAATTTAGTGGGTGTAGTGAAGACCCACTAAGTTGATGGCAAAGTCTAGCACTCCAGCCCCCCCACCCCGAGAAGGGTAAGGTAAGTTGGCAGGAGAGCGTTTCCTGTCGACACAGTATGGTGTAGACACTGCGGTAAGCTGACCGAAGCTATATCAATTTCAGTTATGTTATTTACTTAACTGAAGTGGCGTAACTTAGGTCAACTTACTGAGGTACTGTAGATCGGCTCTTAGTCATAATTCTTTGTAAGTCTAAATAGGTGTATTGTACAGAAGATCAGACTTCATGCTGCTCCCCAGCTGCCATCTCTCCCGTCTGTACTCCATCTACTAGAAATCACTGTTCAGTATTACAGTGCTCTCCAGACCAAAGAAACAATGGGGTTCGATGAGTGGTCAGTATGTCAAGAACCCCTTCTAATAGCTCACCTTCTCATAGTACACTATCAACAACCTGATTGACAGTCAGACTAGATTGCATCTTTTTTCCTCCTGTTTAAAAATTACGAGTATAGAGATCCGAGAAAAATATTATTTTTCAATATTTCTCAAGGTACAATGTTAACCTCAGCACAATAAAAGAAACAGAAGGTGCAATAGGATTTATTAATGTTGGAGTCTATACTGAAACAGATTAACTCTGGTGCTGATATAGCAGTGGGTTATTCCCTGCATTGAAACACAGTGAGGAGATGATAGGCCTATCCAAAACGGTGACCCAAGAATCCAAAATATCTAAACCAGATACAAAGACAAGGTCAAGCAAATGGCCAGTTTTATGGGGGATCCTCCTTGACCTTCCGAATACAGTTCAGAGAGACCATCACCTCCAGTGAGACACACGCAGGCTCTTTCAAGCTCACATCCACATGCATATAGCCCTGGGGGATTTTTCAACAATTTGTGTGGATTCCAACAGAAGTGCTCACAGCAGTTCAGATAACTTACCTGTTAAATCATCCCTAAAACTTGGTGGTCTATATACAAGCAGAATGATAATTTTTACCCCTGCCATAGCAGTACGGTTAACAGCCATATGCTTGGGTTAACATATATGGTAGACCAACTGTTGCACTGGAAACTGGGTGCAGCTAATGGATCACCAAGTACCCAAATGAAAGCATTGTGGAAAATTGGACATGCAGCATCACCCAGAAAAATATCACGAATATGCACATATTAGATGGTGACACTCCCTGAAATATCACAGAATGTTCCATTCCAGCGGAAGATGATTTGAAGAGCTCTGTGTAGCTCAAAGCTTGTCTCTTTCACCAGCTTCAGTTGGTCCAATAAAAAAAAAATTGCCTCACCCACCTTGACTCTCCCATTCCATCTAAGCCATTTCAGTACTTCTCAATGAAGGATTTGTTTTAAAAGCTCAAAATAGGCACCTGCTACCAAACCCAAGAATTACAAATTCCCTTATGGAGTGTCAGCTAATGAATAATCTTCAAATCCATTATATCACAGCTCCCTTTCCAATCCAGTTCATCCATCTTGTAATGTCCCTACATGGACTCACTTGCCATTCCCCGTTAACACAAACAAAAAAACCATGACAACAAAACTCCCCTATATCCAAAACAATGCAGAAAACCAGACGTTAGCACTGAAGACAATTACATAAAGTTTATGGAGGGGCAAATAAATCCCAAGTGTCAGCAATAAACTGAAAAATGAAACTCCTCAATAACTACACT